AATGCTTCGTTCAAGGCCAGACTTGTGTCGTTCTATTGGTGTACTAAGTAGATTTCAAAGTTGTGCAAGTGAACATTTGTGGATTGCCATAAAACCTGTGCTTAGGTATATTCAAGGGACTCTTGATTTAAGACTAGTCTTTGATACTTCTTTAAATTATGCTAGTGGTATTGAAGGGTATGCCGATACAGATTGGGCAGCAGATAGCATAGGTCGAAGATCAACCTCAGGTTATATATTGAAATTATACGGATGTACCATTTGTTGGTCTACAAGAAAACAGCCATCAGTAGCTTTATCTTCGATTGAGGCAGAATATGTTGCCTTGAGTTATGCTGTCAGTGAAGCTTGTTGGCTTAAATTTGTATTAAGTGATTTAATTGTTGTACAAGAGTGGAGTATAATATTTATGAAGATAACCAGCCAACTATTAAGTATGTAAGAATCCAGAATTTCACAAATGTTTAAAACATGTAGATCTAAAATATCACTTTGTGAGAGACAAGATTAAAGGGCACAATGTCCAGGGTGATTCACAACCTGATGTACGCAGAGCAGGGGCGTGCAGAGGACCTCAAAACAAATCGAGTCTCCATTTAAGTTTTTTTCGCAGGCTCAATGGTGAACAAGATTCGGTGTTACAGTTTCAAAAACATTTTGGTATTTTCTCTTTAACTCCTACAGTTTATGAGATATTTTGCCCACATTTTCAACGTAGCCTAATGTTTATCTGGGTGATTTTCCATGAATTTTTTATAATTTTGTTATGTCCTTTTGTCTACATTTTTCTGTGAAAGCTACAAGAGCAAGTTGAAGTTAAAATAGGGATGGCTGACGAGTTAACTTTAAAACTTATTTTTTTACTTTAATTTAATTTACAATAATTGAGGTTTATCGGCTGTAAGCTAATCCAAATAAAAATACACAAAAATTCAGCGAATATATCAATTTATCAGAAAATTATTTTCTTTCAAAGCACGCAAAAAAATTATACGAAAATGCATGGGAAATCACTTAGAAACCCTACATGGACTTATATTTGTGCAAATAACTCGGAAACGAAGGCAGATACGAAAAAACTACAAGAGATTAGAAAATCCTTAAATTGAACACCAAATTCAAGCATTTCTTCGGTCGAAGTCAGTGGCGCACCACAAAAAAGTTCGGGGCGATAAAAAGAGGTATGCCTCTAGAAAAAAGAACGCCCTGTAGATTTTTACAACTAGTTGCTTCACCTACGGGTAAAGGGTCTAAACGTTAGCCTACGTTAAAAATTTGATCAAAATATCTCATATCTCAACTGTAGGAGTTAAAGAGAAAATACCAAAATTTTTTAAAACTTTAGCACCCTGTATCTTGAGAAAAATACTTAAATGGAAACTCGACTTGCTTTGAGGCCCTCTACACGCCCCTTCTCTGTGTCCATAAGATTGTTAATCACCCTGTATATGTTATCTACATAAGTACAGTTGACCGGTTGGCTGATTTTTGCTAAGCTTTTGAGTTTTGTTTAGAATTAGTGCTTAGATCTTGATGAGTGATGTCACGTTTTAGTATTTCATCCATCTTTTGTTAAACGTTTTTAAAGTATTTTTCCTTACCTGAAATTTGATTTCATTTGCCAGCAATCCCAAAACAACCACTTGCATTATTTGAACTAATAAATAAGACACAGAAAACAGCGATTCTCCACTTCGCGCCTGAAATAAAACAAACCTTAAAAAACACTTGAATAAAATAGAAACTTTTCTAAACAGTACTTTCCTTAGATTTTCCGTTGGTTCTTCCCGAATTTACAGTGCAAAACGACAAAATAATTACTCGAAACTAGCCAAAGATATGAATTGAGTCAAGTAACACTAAGAGCGAAAATGCATCAAACTAAATAAAAAACAGAATAAATTAAGTAGAAATCCGAAAATTAGATTGAGAGCATAATTTTTTTACATCCACTTTCATTCATAAACTTACAGTGGTTAAATAAGTTGCCAGCGACGCAATATTAATGGAATTTAACAGAACATCCACCAGAACCACATATCTAATAGATTTGTTCACATCTCTAATAAATCTGAAAATGAAAATTGGTTTTGTGTTGCTGCTAAATAATAAACTTCGATTTCAATAGCATCTTACCCAATCACACGGCGATGGCTTACAATGATATTCTTAATATCATTGAATGAATCTTCTATATTATACGCGGGCCAGTCGCACCTACGTATTTTATTATGTTGAATTTTCAGCAATCTAACGGAATAAAGCATTAGGGCAACAAACATCATGCAGGTGACTGCAAACAGTAAGCCTCCCACTAAGGTGAATATACATTTTGAAACAACCGCCAAAGTTTTATGCTCTCTTTCATTATAAGGCAGCCAGATCGGAAACATGCTCCATTCTTCCTTTTCCTTTCCTTCTGAGATTAATAGAGAATTGTCCCCGTGAATCAAACTAGCTACACCTGCTGACATCAGGGCTACCGCTGTAAAAGTGCTGCTTAACAGAAT